CGTGAATTTTTAATCTGAATTTACAACTTTATAGGATTGGAGAAAACAGTGAATTTTATATTTATAGTTAACTTTTAGATCTTTTTCCACAGTGATTCATATGCTTCCCTCTGTCACAGTCTATCACTATATTAATTACTTTTCAAATTCCAGCCAAAGGGGCACATTATCCCTTCTTACTTCTACTGATAACCGAAAATCTTATGAAAGTATAGTTTTGTACTAAAAATGTAAGAGTAGTTGACCTTGATTTGATTGTTGATTGCAAACGTAAGTTTTCAGCTGTTTCTAAATAGTGTATGGCTTATTTATATATGTTATCGTATATAATCCTCCTCTCTGACATCCTCGGTATATTCCTGTATAATTATTTCTTGTATGTTTAACTACTTTCACTAGACTGTAAGCTCCTGTTGCTAAGGACTGTGTCATAATATGTACTTAGTAAATTTTTGATAGACAATAAATGAGTAAATGAATCATGTTTTATGTACTTAGTAATTATTTTTTCAACTAGATTATAAGCCCCTTGTGGACATTGGATTTTATCTGTGTAGTCTCCTACAGTCCATGTCATTTTATCTTTGATTATAAAAAACACTTGTTAGTTTAAACATAAATTTTTCTAGTTACATTCTAATGTAATTAAGATAGCTCCAAGCCCTACAATAAAAACTTAGGCCTGTCATTTATTGAGGAGTTACTAAGGGTTCTAACATATTAACTCATTTAATTTCTACAAAAACCTATGAGGTAAATAGTAGTATTTGAAAACTGAGATACAGAATTTTAGTAACTTTCTTAAGGTTTTATACAGCCAGAAAATGGCTTGATGAAGAGGAGTATGGGAATTATGTTGGAAAGAAATGTTTTAAGTGGCTATCAAAGTAACATCTACTGCCTTCTCAGTTTGGTTTCATGATTGATTAAATGTCTATGTTAACTTAAGATCTCTAATAAAAGATGTAGCTGGTCCTTTGTTGGAGATGGATGCTTATGAACCATTTATTTCAAGTGAGTAATATAGTAGTGAGTTCTGGCTTCAAAGGAGGAGAGAGAGCTAAGGTTAACAGAAAGTTTTCTCTCTTTGGATTGAAAAAAATTAAAGATAAGGAATCATGTTATTTCTGTCCATGTTCAATTAGTTTAGTGCTGCAAACATATATTGAGTACCCACTTTGAATAATTTGTGCTGTTCGGTGCTATGAAAGACACAAAGTTAAATGAGTTGCTCTCTGTATGTTGAGCAGAAATTCTAGGAAGTTAAGCAAAAGTCTATTTTAGAATTAGCAGAAATCAGTAGTAGACAAAACAGGTATATAATCTCTAGTTGTGATAAACTTTCCTTAATAGTGTTTTTTACTCCAGGTTAAATCAGCAGAGTCATTGAATCAGGTATGTGCAGTAGAGTTAAAAGCACCAACAAGACCTATGATAAGACCTAGAGTGCAGGCGATCCTTGAGGTTAGATCGAACTGTCTTCAAGGAGACTTTCTGATAGAATGTTCTTACTTTCCTCAGATCTTCAGTTTGACAGATCTGGAAACTCCATTTTGAAAATGTTTCCAGGGTTAATCAGGCCCAGAAGCAGTGACTCTACTTCTAGACTCAAAAGTGATAGTCATATAAACCAGGTTGACTATTTATTCCCTTATGTATGATTGTCAGGTACCAAAGGACTCTGCAGTACATTCTTTCTCCTGTACAACAACATATATGGCAAAGTGTTACTTTGTGAGAATGAACTCAAAGCAGAATGAGCTAGTTGGATGGATTGTATCATCAAGCTGTCTATTCCAAGAGGACTAGATTCTCAGGTCTGTTAACCAGGAAACGTCTGGTGATAAATTCTTGCTCTTTGCCTCTCACCTCCCCCGCCCCCCTCAATTTTTCCAATAGGCAATAAATACCTCCCTCTCCCTTCCTATTAGAAACTTTTTTTTCCATTCCAGTTATAATCTTACTAGTTGAGATACAGTTTTCTTTTAAGTCAAACATATTTCCTTAGACTGAACCTGAAAGATAATTTCTTAGAGTAAGATGAGCCATCAGGAGAAGATAAAGTATAGTTGATAAAATACTTGAGCCCTATATTTCTGTAAGTCTTTCTTGTTTCTAGTTTATTCTTTTTTTTTAGAAGATAAACTTCAGGTTTTTAAAATAGGAAAGCATTCTCATTTATCTCAGTTATGCAGACTGGCAGAAGTCTTGGATATTTTTATCATTAGACCATAATCAATACATAAATATTTCTTTGGAAATAAGGTATTTTGATTGTAGATAATACAATAAAAATGTGTTTCTTATCATTCCTTGAAGAGTGAGTTTTTCTAGATAGCTGTTTTACATATAACTAAGAATTTATAAAATATACTCCGTGAAGATAGCAATTACCTTTTTGGTCATTTTTGTGATAGTCACTAAAGGTATTGAGTCTTTTATGTTGAATGGAATTAGCTGCACTAAAATCTGTTTTAAATATTTTTAGTTTATTTTTCATGTGTGAAATATTCCACAATTCCCTGCTTAATAAAACAAAACAAAAAGTTTATCAAACCTAGTTCGGCACTTGGAAATAACTTATGGTTGTCAATATTCCTGCCAGTAGTAACCTCTCTTCTCTTCTAGTGTGCTGTTTCTATTGCGCATATAAATACGATAGCATGATAACTTGTGTTGCCCTGAGTATGCTGTATAAATGCCAGTGCAAAAACTTCGTGACATGTTTGGCTGTTCTTTTTTCTTATAATAGTACTCTGGATAGCTGAGAGATAAGCATTTGCCATTTCTAGTGGAAAAAAATAGTCTTTTTTGGCTAGCCTCACAAATCCTGTTCATAAAGTCATGGTAAACATCACATCCTTTGATTGAATGACAATCTGTTTATGATGACTTGAAAGGTAGTGTTCCTCGTATTTCTTGAACCAGATTCTAGAAAGATGTCAAAAGCACTTGCAAATAAGAGCTTTTCCCATATGAAGTCTAAATTCAAAGTCCTTAAAATTGATTATTTTATTGTCACAAATACATTCCTCAAAGTTATAATCGAGTTTTAAGTTTCTGCACAGTAAAAATATCCTGTAACATTGGCTAGTTCTAGTAGTCTAACCTTGTAATTGCCTTCCTTATCCTGAAATAGTTTCCACTTTTAAGTGTTATCTACACCTGCAATTTGGGGCCATTTATATACCTTTCCTGATAACACTTTTAAATTTCTTTCCTGTCTTTTCCTTTGTATTTTTGCGCAAGCTATCTTAATTGTTTTGGAATAACCTGTCACCATCAGTTCTAAGATACCATTTAAATTACTTCCTTCACTTTTTTTTTCTGATATGGAACCAGAACCCCAGCTTTCCTCCAAGTCTTTAATAAACTTTTTTATGTATTTGCAGACTGTTTTCACAAAGTAAAACATTATTTTGAGGAAATTATGCAACAGAACCAGGAAAGGTTAATTATAAATAGAATTGTCATTGGAAACCATGAATTTCAGAAAATGCTAGGAAATTAGTGAATATAGAGTGACTAATCTATAGCCTCCACACAGATTACTGGGAAATCTGGAAATGAAACTCTGTTATTAGTTACTAGTCACATAAAAAATGATAGATTTGTTTTCCTGTATGTGGGCCAACTGTAGTTAGACAACTGTTCATACATAAGAATTTAATGTTCTGAGCCATTCGTGTAACTTCTTTAAAGAGTTTTTTGAAGTAAAGGTGCTTTTCAGTAGTATTATTGGAAGAGAGTTCTATAGCTAAATAAGTTCTTGCAATTGGAGTTGCAGCCACAAATATTTGCATGAATAGTATTGCTTAATAACTGCAGTCCACGTGCTATATCTGAGGAAGCTAATAAAGGAAAGGGTAAAAGGAGGAAGATTTTTTTGTATATGTAAAAGAATATATTTTCTTTTGTACAACTTAAAAGTATATTTAAAATGTAAATATATATCTAAAATAAGATTATATAATTTGTGTTTTGATTATTTGGATATTCCTTATCATCACTGTTTCTCAGTCTAATGATAGGTCTTCCATTAACATGAATTAGACCAGCATGTCTAGAAGCTTTCTTCTCTTTATTGAGTTGTTTTTCTTATATATTTGTGTTAACAGCTTTATAGAAAACACATAATGAGAAATTGCATTATTATGAAGGGACTGGTTTTTCTCTTAAAAAAAAAAACAGTTTTTTACCAAAGAACACTAATCAGTTAGCTTTCCTTTTCAGAGTAATAAATGTTGTAGTACGGCAAATGCATACATTGCCTTGTTGAATTTGGCTTTGTTTACAGAAATCCATAACCAGTAGCGCTCTTTCGCTCTTGACAGTTTTCTATTCAATAGTGCCTTTCATTTATCATTTTGGTATTTATTTTTAATGCATATTTAATGACAGTTGAATTAAATATAGACTTTTAAAAGAATTTATCAAGAAGGCAAGTGTAATAAAAGGTTATTTTTTAATGAAGTGAGACTCCTACAATTTGGGGGGGGTTGTAATTGAATAAATTGGTTCTTTTTAGCACAACGTAATGTTGATTCTGTTTTTCCAAGGGAATTTCAGCAATGTACATAGATAATTTAAAATTCTTTTTTTTAACATCTTCATTGAAGTATAATTGCTTTACAATGGTGTGTTAGTTTCTGCTTTATAACAAAGTGAATCAGCTGTATGTATACATATGTCTCCATGTCCCCTCCCTCTTGCGTCTCCCTCCCACCCCCCCATCCCACCCCTCTAGGTGGTCACAGAGCACCGAGCTGATCTCCCTGTGCTATGCGACTGCTTCCCACTAACTAGCTATTTTGCATTTGGTAGTGTATATCTGTCCTTATATACACTACCACTCTCACTTTATCCCAGCTTAGTACCCATATATAAACTTTTTATATCTTTAGAATATTCTCTGAATATGATTAAAAACATCATGAAATAGATGTAGAATCAAGCCTTGATAACTGTTATATCTGAGTATTTTTTTTGATTTTTAATAGGATACAACATCTATTGAAAAGATGTCAAACTGTTGTGAAGAAATGTAAGTATGAAAGTGAAGTCTGTAGTGTTCTTATTTAAAAATGCAAACACCTGGTTATATTTGAAAAATGTGTGCATGTAGTGGAAAGATAATATAATGATGGCTTTTTCTTGGTGCCTTTTCTAAGACCTGAGCTAGCAAGCATAACCCAGTCTTACAGTAGGGGTAGGGGTCTTCTAGCCGTGATAGTTTTCAAACAAAATAAGTACTGATCATTCTTGTTCCTTGTCCTACTAAAGTAAGTTAAATTATTTGTCCTGAAAATACATCAAAAGAGATTTGCTACTGTGTTATTGACACACATTCTGTTAATCCTGAGATTCTCCTCTGCTTCAAAAGTTGCCCTAGGTTGATTGACGACACAGATACAATATCTGCTATCCAGAGTTAAAACTCAGCTGCATGCCATAATGAAAGAAAAGCTGTATTTGTGATGCTGGGACACAATTCATCAGAGTCCAGTAATGGATCCCCAGCCAACCTGTATTGTTTTAGCTGACTGAAGTGCACCATGGGAGTGCTGTCTTTCACTAATAATGCTGTCTTCTGTAGATCGAGACCCCGAAAGCCATGGCAGCAGACCTTCTCAGAAGTTTTTGGCACTCGTTGGAAGATCCTGTGGTTTATTCCTTTCAGGCAGAGGCAACCACTGCGAGTTCCCTACCACTTTGCCAATCACGTCTAAACAGATGGATGGTGGGCACAGATGGGTCCTCCATGCTGGAAATGCGTTACAGGTTTTCTGATAATAGAACTATGACAGTCTTCAAGTCAATTAAAATCCACCCACCAATCTTAAGCATCATAATGTGCCCCAGGCTTTATTTTAATAGTGATCTTGATCCTGTTGTGGGACTAATACATGATCTATATTTAAGTTTTAAAGCATGTTTACTTTCAAATTAGCTTTCCACAGGGATTTCTTTAAATGCTTTTGTTATTAAACTCAAAAGGCAGTGATTGGGATGAAGTAATTGTACATAATTTCTTTTAGTACTGACAGTGTTACAGATTTTACTTTATGGGAAACTTCGGATGTTTATTTAAAATTTTCACCCTTAAGCAGTACTAACCAAATCTGAATTTCATTCTTTAGGTTTTACAAAAGTTGATACGCCTTACATGTAAATTTTCTTTTTCAAATACAATTTTATGTTATACTTCCTTTTGTATGTGCTGCAAGATTTTTTAAAATTTAGCATATAGAATTGAACAACAACAACAAAACAAAAACAGCAACAAAAAAGGACAGTGTTTTCTTAGAAGTAGCTTTCTAATGTTTTTTTTTCTCTTCACCAAAAACACCACTAAAGTAAAACACCAACTACCTACCTTATTTTAAAGGAAAGATTAATTTTTTTTCACATTAACTTTCCCATTTCTTTCCCCTATACTGTTGTAATTATTGGTTTTTGTTAAAATATTTGCTCCAAGGGGAAATTTTTGACCAAACAGGCATGTGTTCCTATTTTACCCTAAGATTTTTATTAGCAAAAAGGGTAAAGAATTTGCAATAATTCCACTGATACCTTTTCTAGTGTAGTTATGTTAGAATGCATATGTTTTTAAAATGCTAGTATAGGGCACCCCTGGTGGCGCAGTGGTTGAGAGTCCGCATGCCGATGCAGGGGACACGGGTTCGTGCCCCGGTCTGGGAAGATCCCACATGCCGCGGAGCGGCTGGGCCCGTGAGCCATGGCCGCTGGGCCTGCGCTTCCGGAGCCTGTGCTCCGCAACGGAAGAGGCCACAACAGTGAGAGGCCCGCATACCGCAAAAAAAAAAAAATAATATAACTAGATAATATATAATGTATAGTATAAAGAAGAATATTGTGCTTTAAAAAAATATATGTATACTTTTTACTTTTGTTTACCTACTAGTAGATCTAAAATTACACCTTGAAGGTTTTTATATAATAGATATTGGCCAACTAATATTGAAATTTTATTTATAGGAAGTTACTAGTAAAAGTAACTTTTGTGTACCTGTAATCACCCAGATTGAAATTAAATTTTAATTGACCAACTATAATCTGGATTGAGAGACCAGACCATTTTTAGTAGCCAATGTTAGGAAATGACCTTAAAATGAGAAAATATAATCTATATTCATTATTAGCCTTATACAAATTTAAATTGCTAATTGTGATGGTCTCTTGGAAAGCATAGAATATTTGTGTGAGAAAAAATTTAGCACGGTTTGAAAAAAATTCAGTTAAAAATTTTTTTCCATTAGAATACTGCAAAATCCATATATCTTTAAAAAGCTAATTATGTACTCAGCCTTTCCCTTGAAGAGAGGATTGAAGGGGTATCTAGTGTTCTTGGAGCATATCAATATTTTCTTTTTGGTTAGTTTTGGTAGTAAGGAGTCATACCTGAGAAATCATGAAACAGAAGGTTACCGTTGTCAGCTAGTTAACTATACTGTGGTTATTTTTTAGAAATTATAAATATCTCCTAAAATAATAGAATAAGGCCTACTCAGAGATACAAGTACCATGTCTTTCATGTTCTGATTACAGTGCTTTATTATTTAAAAACTTAGTGGCAGATGGAAATATTTATTGGTGCTGATAAGATTCATAGTAAATTTAATATAAGAAGTATATTTATAGAGCTTAATGAACCACAAAATTAGTACATATATTCATTCCAGGCAGATGGGTTGGGTTTTGACCAAATTTGGCCTGGTGACTGAACTGTTATAAGGAGTAATGTATAGATAATGTAGATAGATGTCAGTCAGATGCCTTATGCTGTATACATTCCTTTCAAATAAGGACATTGAGAAAACAGCAAAGCCAAGTGAAGACCCCCTAAAGAGCTTTATGGACGAATTTATACTTCATATGGTAGCAGTAGCTACCTTGAAAGGTACCAGGGAGGTACTCAGTGCCAACCTCTGTCTCAGTAATGAGAATCAAGAGGTGGTCTCTTTCCCACTCTAACGGCTTCTGGTTTTGGTTTTCTTAGGTTCCCCACTTCTAGGGCACCTCTTCCCACCTTTCTCTTTACCTTCCCTGATCCTGATCCCTCTGTACCTGATTTCTCTAAATTACTGGAATACAAGCTAATGCACTAGGCAAGGCATATATTTATTTTTGTTTGAATGGCAGAAATGCTACATATCAATATATTTATGTAGGAATCTATATAAAGTATATCTATATATACTTATGCTGTAACTTTCAGTATTTCAGAGTTAGCACACCTAACTGGGTTTTATGATTCTTGTTAGACAACTTGAGAGAGAACACCTGGCACTTTCCTGGGGAGTCCATAAATTCTAGTGTGCTCTCTGCGCCCTCTTTTGGCTAATTGATGTAATTATACTGGCTCTAGAGATTTGTTGCCCAAATGAAATGTATACCCAAATTCTGAACATTTCAGAGGTACAAACTTAAGGGAAGTCTATGTACAAAAATGTAAGGTTTTATGAAAATTAATGTGTTCCTATTTATGATTCTGATGTCTGGTTCATACATATATGACTACTTTGCTTCATTTATGTATATTCATATTATATTTTTTACTATCAGACAAATTTATATCAGATCAGGATAAATAAATATAAACCATTTCATGAATTTTATTTTGAACCTTATTTTGGCAAATTAAGTCCTTAGAATTAAAAAGTCATTACCTTAAAATTACCAATTTATTACAAAACAAATTTATCGTAGTTACAATGGCAAGCCAGTGTCTAATGTGTTTTACTGAATATCTAAAAAAATACATTCAGTTTTTTAATCCCAGTTTTGGAATGATTTTTTTAACTGATTCAATTGCATTAAAATAGTAAGAGATTAATAATTCTTTCTATACTTCTCTTCATTTTTTTTAACTTTCCTACTGTGAGTTAGAGCTGTAGCTTTAGTAGCCAATTTATTATATATTCTAGATAACCCTGAAAATAACTAATGATGTTGAGCATTAGAAAATAATTATGAGCAGTGAGATTACTGATGTAATCTGTATATTGGATGAAGTATTTCGTTATAAACATTTCATTTCATTTTAAGCGAAATGTATTTTAAAGGATGTTTTACATTCAGCAAAGTCATTAATTGGACTTCTGGAAATGAAAGTAGTTGTTAAGTACTTGTTATAAATTGCACCTCTTGAACAATTATATTTGTTGCTCTTCTTTTCTGCAAACAAAAATGTTTATGGGCTCAAGACTGTAGGCAAAAAGTGACTGAGTTCAGAATTTTAAAAATATTGTTAGCTGATGTTCCATTGTGAGAAAAATACTATTTTGCTTCAGAGTTGTATTAAAAATATTTGTGGTTAACATAGAGATAGGTATACTTAAAATATTAATATGTTAATGTCTTTGAACAGAAGAAAGCATAGTTTACTTTTAAGTAATAGAAATAGAGAACATAAGCATAAAGTTTAGTGTAACAGCTAAGTTAAAACTTCTGTCAGAATGAACATCAGTGAATGTTTGCTAATGCTTAGAGGTGTTTTTCTCTAAGGATGGCGGCTAATTATAACTGTTCTTCATCAGGCTTTTTCAAGTCACTTTCCTACAAATAATTAGTTGAAGGTGTGTCACCCAAAAGGGTGTATTAATGCTAATCATAAAGACTTGAGTTAGGACAACACCTCCACCCAGGAAGTATGAAGTAGTTTTGATTATAACCACATACCTTTCTATGTGTTAGATAATGGAGCAGTTTGAATGTTCTCACATATGTTGGTATAAAATCACAATGCATCCAGCTCTAGTTTACAATGGTATTAATATTAACAGAGCTGCTAGTCTTTCCCTGGACTTTTCTCTAGTGTCTACTTCCCTTGTGCTTCATGTATGAATAGACTACTTAGCTCAAGTTTACTAAACTATTGCTGCTTCATTAAATAAGTTTTTGACATGACCTCTATATATGTAGCTATATCTAGAATTTACTTGGTACAGTTTACACTTACAAACATTAAATAATTTATTAATAGATATAAGTATTAGATTTTTTACCCAATTCTACTACTGTTGCTTTCAAAAATATAAGTACTGGCAAATGTAGTTAGTAAGTCATGTACATTTAGTATGTTCTACTTGCTAGTATTAGTAACCATATAATTAACAAATGAATGAGTGTATTATTTAATGTCCACATTTGTTACTTTCGATCCTAAGACTCCTCTGAATTTCTCTGTAAATCACAAATTTCATTATGCTCTGAATTTAGCCATTCTCAATTGAATTCTAGAATATTCTTCAGCAGAATGTGAGAAAGTAATAGAACCAACTTGCTTGAAGTATTTTGAACCAATGTTGTTCTTATGTATATCAATCAGTATTTAGCATTTCAGCTGCATTTAGGATGATGATGGTTTAACTTCAGGAAGTGTTTTCTCTGATGTCTCCTTTCATTATCATTGTGCAATTTTTAACAACAGAATTTACTACATTTTTGTCTGTTCTTCAGATGTTGTAATACTGCCTGCTAGTGCTAATTTGAAACAGAAATAGTAATGGTGTTTATCCTTATGTCATTGGTATTTTCTATTATCATTATTTTTTTTACTATTATTATTTCCTTTTTCCCTTGTCTACCATAGAGGACAGGTACAAATGAGTAGTGAGTAGCCAGAATTAGATAAAGAGAGTATTAAGATGGAGAGAAGGCTAGACAGAGCATGTATAATCAGCATCTCAGCAGAAGGGTTTACTGGACACAGAATCTGTGACGTCAGAGAATTCCTCTGCTACAATCATTTTAGCCTTATCTCTTGTTGACACTGTTTCACTGTAAGAGTTGTTGATGCGTGTAAGCGTTTAGTTTGAGTTATTTTATCCAAGGAGTGTATATTGCTGATTCTTGTCAGCTAGTCAGATGCCTTTAAGAAATTATTTTGAATTTTAAATATCGGAAGTGTACAGTGTACGCTAACCTGAAGTGTCAGGAATTATGTGAAAGTACAGCTACTTAATGCCAAGCAGAAATGAATAGGTTGCCCAAGGTATGATTGAAAAAGCTGGGACCTTTTTATAAGTCTCCTCTTGCAGAGAAAGGATATACTAAGTATTGTAGTAAAATCTGTCAACAGAGGGAAAATCAACATTTTGTATACAAAGGGTGATTTTCACTTTAAAATTTAGACTATTTCAGTTTTTCATATCTTGAGGGTCTCAGTAGCTATTGGTATTTTGAA